GGTGCTTGGGTGGGTGGAGCTGTCCATTCGTTTCCCCTCTTTATCATGGCAATCATTTTGCCCTTCTGTGGTCCTAATGAAATTGATCATTACTTTTGTGACATTTTTCCTCTGTTGAAAGTTGCCTGTACTGATACTTATATCACAGGTATCTTAGTGATTACCTTTTCAGGTATCATTTCCTTAGTTACCTTTGTTGTCTTATTTCTTTCTTATGGCATTATACTGTTCACTCTAAGAAATCAATCTGCTGAGGGAAGACGCAAAGCTCTCTCCACTTGTTGGTCTCATATCACTGTGGTTGCCTTATTCTTTGTGCCTGTTATCTTCATCTACCTTAGACCTCCTACTACATTTCCAGAGGACAAAATATTTGCAATATTTTACACCATTGTTGCTCCTATGTTCAATCCTTTAATCTATACACTAAGAAATGCAGAAATGAAAAACACCATGAAAAGACTTTGGTGTCAAACATTACTTTTCAAAGGAAACACATAAATAATGAAGACATTTATTGTATAAACAACTTAGTGAAAGAAAAAGAGTGGACTTGAATAATAAAACTATAAAAAACTTCTGAAACTTCCTATTTTATTATGTAACTTAAATGGAATAGTGAGAGAAATTGGACTATAATATCAAAAAGAAAGATCACATACTAAACTTTGTATACTGAAAATAGAAAGAAATTAGTTTGATATTGTGAATACAGAGATAAAAATGTTCAGTTTTATGTAAAAACTACAGTTAGCATGGAAATTAGCGAATGATTTACTGTTGATTAGTGTGTTAAAATATTATATATTATGATAACTCAATCAAAACTTTTAGTTTAGTGTCATAATACATAGTGTTATATTTGGTGATAATGGGGAAGTTGAAATTTGAAATTAAAATAATAAGTTTAATATCTGATAACATATTATCACATATTCTTTTCCAGTGTCACCAGAAATCAGATGTGTTCCAAAGAAATATTAGGGTAGATTCTACTTGAAAACAAATCAGTGCTCTTGACATGATTTTAAATAATTTATATCAACTACTGACAACAGAGTGAGAATTCATAATTCAGGATGCTGAATCAAACATATTGCAACTCAAACCTATTAACTGAAATTTAATAACATTTCTTATAAATCTAAAAAAACTGTTTAATAAAATGTGTTTCTAATGCTTCTCATTAAAATTTAAAATTAAATTGATGTGACATGATTCAGAGCTAACACACATTTATCTACAACAGAAAACAAATATTATATGTTCTCAGAACTCAAGGCAAGACATTTTGGAAGTGAAATTGCATGTTACAAAATAGAAGCTGTTAGTTGCACAGGCTAACTACCCTCTGACATAAATTACATGATTTCTAGAAAATGCAAAGCACTGGAGAGAGTAATCTGACCAGTGAACATCAAGGGTTGACCTTAGTGAAGTGTAGGGCTGAGTTGGAAGAGCACAGTATTTTTAGGACAATGAAACATTTGCATATAACTACATTTCAGATACTGTTATTGTTTATAGTAAAACCCATGAATTGTACAACACCTAAAGTAAACTCTAATGTAAGCTGTGAAGTTCTCTGGTATGGTATATCAGTGTGGAAATACTTTAATTTAACAAATGTCCCACTCTGGAGGTTGTACCTGTATGGTGACAGTGGATATATGAAAATTTCTGTTCCATTCACTCCATTTATCTATGGACAGCAAACTACTTTAAAAATAAAGATTATTAAGTAAGAAATGTTTTTTTTTTTAACAAAACATCTTGTTTTTTGACTATAATGAAGCAGAGGCATCCGAGAAATGTCTCCGGAGAAACAAGAAAGAAGTGTGTTGAAAAAGAGTTTGTTCATCAATAATTGGATTGGACCTAAGGTTCTTAAAATAAATACCAAAGACCACAATAGAAAAAGGACTGGCAAGTGTGATTTTTATGAAAAGTGATATAATTAATGAGGCCTCCAAGTAGTGTAAAAGCCAACACTATAAAGCTGGGAAAAAGCCAGCACTATAAAGCTCTCTGTAGCCACAGCAGCAGTAGTTCAGTCTCCAGCCAGGTTGGTGACCCGGGGGAAAGGACCTGTCCTGTCTCCCCCCTGCTCTCCTCAGTAGTGTATTTTAGTCGATCTGCCTGTTTCATTCCCCATCCTGTCTCTGGTAAATCCAGTCCCTCCTGCCCCCCCTCCACACCTTTAGCCTATACCCAGTATAAATAAATACATAAATAAAAAATCTTTTTTTAAAGAAAAGTGATGTAATTAAAATATTGAAATTGCTTTGAAATATGTACATGGAGCTGGACAGCTGCAATCACTTTAGGGGCTTAGAAAAAAGGATGTTAAAGAGTAGTAAACATAATTAGGGAAATACAAGTATGTAGAAATTTTATAGTAAAAACCAGTTGCATCTCAGGAATTAACTAATATAAGGACAAAAATCATCAACAGATTTAAATGAATATGTTGAAAAGCCATCACAGTATACTTGTCACTATAATGTCGGATGGGCAATGTGTTGAAAACAAGCATTTTGCTCTTTAGAAAATTTATATTGGTCATGATATGAGAAAATAAGTCTTAATTTTTTCAATGGACTCATAGTATAAAGAGATAGGTAATTTTGTTGAAGAAAATGAAAGTGTGTTGGCAAGAATTCAACAAAACTCTTGCTTTATTTGACTTGGATGCTGATCTAGATCATTCCCTAATGACACTCACAGTTGCACATTAATAATAAAGAAGAAATTTATGGAAACTCAAATTTAAGATAGCTATTTAACCTTTGAGCCTCTGAACTGGATTAGATACTATAAGTCTGATTTCCTGGTGTTCTAAAGGCAAAAGAAATTTGTCTGGATTACATGTAATAGTTATAGAGAGATCACTCTTTATTCTTTTATCTTTGCTTTACCTCCCACATCCCAAGCATAAATTTTAATCATATTAGTCCCTAGCTATGATTTAAATTGCAGGTCATAAAATTTATTGAATTAAGTATTTTATACGCAAAGTATCTTAATAGTAGTCCATACTTGGATTGAAAGAATGCATTTTGATTCTCTTGAGCTTTCTCATCTCAGACTTCTTAAAGATAACTTTCTACAATTATGTGCTACTTGGGCTCCTCCTTCTTCAGGAAGTTGGAAGAACACAGTGGCCCACATTTCTTGAACTTCACCTTCTGAATAGAGTTATTGGACTCCTGGGAATAGTCGATGAGATGAGCTAGTATAACTGTAGAAGGTAGTCATCCAGAGGGAGCAGAGATTTTGCCACAGATAGTAGTTTAACAGTATTTCCCCAGGATGCACTCAAGAATGCCATTGAATATATAAATACCTCAAGAATAACAAGACTATTAATTGCTTTATTTATGCTCTAGTTTATATCTGTTCTTCTGAACCACATTTTATCAGACAGAGTAAAAGTAGATGATTACTTGTACTTAAGTATTTGTGCAGTCTTGAAATAATTTGACAATATTTTTGTTTAAAATTTACACTGAAACTAGAGTTGTACTTAATATGGGTTGAAAATTCCTACTGCTCTCCTAAGGGATGAAGACGCACTTCACTTTGTAAGTATATTATTTTTTAAATTAATATTTGAGATTACCTTCTTCATATGAAGAAGCTTCATACAGTTTATGGAATTTGTGGGGTATGTTGAGAATTCCAAATTATTTAAGATAATTAATTTGGATGTGGGTGAATTGTTTTTTAGAGTACATTTTAATCCAGATTTTGGTGGGAGAAAATTGTTAGGCTGAGTATCTGAGGATGAAGTGCATCCTGATGGAAGCTGGGACTGATCTCAGATGATGGTCAGTGAATTAGCCATGTCAACTTAATATGGGAAGGGTCACCCAGGCCTGTGCTAAACTTACTAATCACATTTTATTAGTTTATATCTTTTTACATTAACATATTTTCTGCCAGCATATAATAATTTGACTTGTACAAAAATGTGTGAACATTCTTTAGTTTTAATTGTTCACTATTTCTAAACAAACCTCCAGTAAGAACAATAGAGCAAATAAAATATTGTCAGGTTTGTAGCGTTCATGTCCCAGCTTTTCACAAGAACTTCTACATATCACCATCAAAAATAGTCCAGTTTACTCTTGAACATCTGTAAGAATGAAGACATTGTTGTACTTCATAATATTTCAATGTCTTCAAGAATGAAGACATAGTTGTATTTGTATCTGCCATCCTAAGATAGATTAGCTCCATCCGCGTCAAGAAGTTGAGTGCATAGAATTCTGTGTTCTCCATGGTGCACTAAGGACAACTTGCAATATGTGAGGGAAACTTTGGTTTAAATATAAAAGCTTCTATTTATACAGATAGTGTAATGCATATATACTTTTTATTCAATACCATCAAGAAAAGTTATTAAGGATAGTTCTGTTGTACAAAAATTATAAGGCTGTGATGAGTGTTAAATTCTTTAAGGTAAATAATTTATTTACTAACTGATAGGTTTTGACTGTCAGAATGCTGAAATTGAAGTTTGTCTAATCTTTATACATTATAAATATTCTTTATTTTTACATTAACTCTGATTGACTTATGTACTTGATGATCTCTGTAGCTGTTTTCAATGCTTTCAAGGAGGAAGGAGCACAGGAAAGGGTATTGTCCATTATTTTATGCATTCCTCATTAAATTGTAGTAAAACTTGAATTGTCTACCAAAATTTATGACATTTACACCACTAACATAAAACTGGGATTTAACAAATTTTATATTTTCTTGACCAAAGATATATTAACTTTGACAAGGGAATATTTTATACAAAATATATTTAGGATATGAAATATGTAATAATTAAATATGGATGATCATTTCTTAAATATTTCTTGAAATATGTCTTTGTTTTGAGATTTTTCAATCATTCCTTCTAATATAACAGTGTAACAGCAGTTATTACATTGACTTAATATGACTCCTTGATACAGTATTTGATCACAAAGCATATAGTACTGTGCTCTACATTTATAAAAGTTTCAAAAGTTCAATCAGGGTTTAAAACGTTTTTCAGGAAATGGTCTAAAAATTGTAAATTATGGAATGTACAATAATATACATTTGCTACCAAATGTATATACTTAAATATTTAAAGAACATTTTTTAGTAAAGTATACATTACTTCTCACAATATCATTATAAAATTTTTCAGAAGTAGACATATGAGAAAAATATAATGTAAAAAAGCATCTTGGCAATGAATCAAGCTTAACTATTATTAAGATAACATCCATGTCATTCTACATTTTATGTTTATATTATTGCATTCATATTGTCATTTTGTTTTACCAATTTCCATTTTATTTATTTCAGATATGTGTACAACAAACAAAAATCAAAATGGAAAGCCGGAGAAACATCTCAGAATTCATTCTTCTAGGACTTTCTTACAATAAGAACATACAAATATTTTGTTTTGTGTTCTTCTTATTCTGCTATGTTGCCCTATTAGCAGGAAACTT